CAGACTGCCACATCTTCCTGTTGCCACTGGTGGTTTTGAACTGCCGACCTTTCGGTTAGCAATCACTTTAACCACTGTTCACCAGGACACCTTAAACAGTATATAGTTTTATAATATTCCTTATAAATTAACATTATATTATGAACAGTTTCCTATTTTGCTTAAAAATCTTAATTCTTTCAAAAACTTTTTAGGATTGATAATGGTATTGTGGTTATATATTTAAAGAGTTCCTTCTGTTTTAAATGCATATTGAAATATTTATCAAATGATTAAATGATATGATGTCTGAGATTTGCTTCAAAATACACAGGAATGGGGAGGGGAAAAGGTATTGAAGATTGGCCATGAATTAACAATTGTTGATGGAAATTTTTATAAATGTAATTTTTAAATGTCTTATCATATCCCACCCTGTGGACATTCTATAACACATGTAACAACTTCTCTATTGTCAGGAATTTAGGTTGTTTAAGGTTATGGGTGGGCTGAGTTGAAACTATAGTCTTTGATAGCTATTCTGATTATTTCCTTCTTGGAAATATAATTACTGGGTCGAAAGAGAATGAAGCTTTTTAACACCTGTGATACACTTTGCCAAACTGCCCTTCAGAAAGGAGGTTCCAAGTTTCTTTCCAATTAGAGGTATATGACAGTGCCCTCGTCAACTCTGTTATGAAATTTTAGCCTTTATCAAGTTGATGGAGGGAGTGTGGTAATTTGTTATTATTTTAATGTACATTTCTTTGATTTCCAATGAGATTGAATCTCTGGACTGTCACCCAATTGGTTCATATCCTTTTAGGGAGGAAGCAGAGGGGAAGAGGAGAATAAAAGGGATTTATTACCCCCTTCTCATCACTACTTTGAAGATGAGAAGCAAGTGCTGGGTTTTAGAGGCAAGCAGCCTTGGGTTCAAATCCTGGCTCTGCCACTTTCTAGCTACTGACTTTGTACAAACTTAACCCCTCTGAGCCTCAGATTTTTCATTGAGGAAACAAGACAGTCATCCTGCCTTCATGAGGTGTGAGATAATAGAGATTTATAGGGAAAAAGCCTGGCGCACAGTGGTCACTCCCAAATAATAGCATGTTAATAATAAACAACAAACAAATGGATAAATAATATTAATAAAATTATACATTAGAAAATGCATTTTATAAAGATATAATTTATAAAATAGCATATAAAATAATATTAAGCAAATAAGAAACAAATAATAATAATAAAAGTCATTGTCCTCGGGAAGCAAGTCTCGGGATGTAAAATGCCCCCCGTTTTCCCCTACAGATGAGGGCCCTACAGGGACCGCTGCTGGCATTTGGATCACGGGCTCTTTCACCTTTCGTTCTTTTTCACAACCTCCTTGCTCTGCAGTCTTTCAAATCACTGCTGGGTGGCAGAGGTGACTACTGTGAGCCAGGAAATCCATCTTGGGGAATTGGGTGATCTTGGAGGAATGAATTCTGATCACCAGTGTGACTTATTTGATGCCGTGGAAATGCACCTTGCAGTGTTTGGCTCAGAGGATGACGCTGAATTTCAGGAGGACTTGTTTGATGGTAGGAGCCCCCGTGGCACAGTGGTTAAGCGCTCTGCTGCTAATCAAAAGGTCGGCAGTTCGAATCCCCCAGCCACTCCTTGGAAACCCTGTGGGGCAGTTCTACTCTGTCCTCTAGGGTTGCTATGAGCTGGAATCGACTCAACGGCAACCGGTTTTTTTGCTTGATAGTATCTCACCTTAGACTCTGGAGCAGAAGCTAGACATGCAGCGTGATCTTTGCAGGGCAGCCTGGCCAAGCTGAGGCCTCTGCCTCAGTTCGTTGCCCCTTCCTTGTCTTCTTCCTGTTCTCAGTCTGTGCCCAGTCCCGGAACCCTTAAATTCTACATGTTCTTGCCACACACATCACCCCTTCTAGAAGGCGAAGAGCTGAAACAGAAAACCGGGTTGCGGCTCTAAATAACCTGTCTACTCTCAGACAAAAAGAGAACTGAAAGTGCTTTTTCTCTATTTGCTGCATTTTTGGTAGTGGTGGTGGGGTGGGGGAAAGGATGAGGGGGTTGTGGGGGAGCAAGCCTGAGCAGCTTTTAGGTTATTTGAACACCAAGTGGAGTAGTCCGTCTGGGCCCTCCCAGGCTCACCGGGGAGGCCAACATGCTCTACAACACTCCCTCAGCCTGGGGGGTGGGTGCAGCTGACAGGGCAGAGAAGGATTTCTCCTGAAAACCGGAGTGGATGTCCAGGCAGCAGTTCTGTCCCCCTGCGCTGGTGTCTCTCTGGGCCCATCTCACTGATTTCCTGGGCACATTCTTCCGGGGCACATTCCAGTTCTAAGAGGTGTAATGATGGCATGGGAGGTTGGGTGACTTTGGCCTATTTCTAAATTGAGGAAACATCCAGAGACAAGAGTAAATGCTCTCTATGGTGAGGATTTGGGTCTGCTGGCTTCTGTCTTGAGCAAGGAGCGCTCTGCCCTGGATAAAAGAGCAGAGCTTCTTGGTCTGCAGAGAGCTCCTGGCGGTGCACGTACGAGCGCCCTGAGAATTTAACGACTTTGTGTTTTCATCTTGCTGATGATACAGAAATGATTCTTCTACCAACCATAATTCATATCCATTCGTAATTGAAAGACACTTTAGTAGGAGAAACTATTCCTGTTTTAAGCGTTTCTCAAACAGGGAACCGTGAGATTTTTCTTTTTTCCTCTTTGAAATGTGAGTGTACTTTATCTACAAGCTTTGTTTGTTCTGGCTTTGTGGAAGTGAAGTGACACCACTCTCTTCAAAATAACAAATGCTTCACCTCCACGGTTTGAAAGCTCCTTCTCATCTATTATTTCCCTTGTGAGGTACAACTTATTAAACCCCTAGAGCCCTAAGGGCACAGTGGTTAAGAGATCGGCTGCTAAACAAAAGGTGAGCAGTTCGAATCCACCAGCTGTTCCTTGAAAACCCTATGGGGCAGTTCTACTCCGTCTTATAGGGTTGCTGTGAGTCAGAACCGACTCAATGACAACGGGGCTTTTGGTTTTGGTGTCATGAGGAAACAGGCTCAGAGAAGGTAAGTGACTTTTCCAAGGATGCACAGTGATTTGGTTGGAGAGTTAGTGGAACTCACATCGCCTGTGCCCTGGCTTCCAACTTTTTCTATTAGTTCCGTTTTCACAGTAGCACCCTCTGTCCCTGACTCCCCCGAAGGTCCCGGATTTCTCTTGTCTTTGCTGTGGAGGAGGGCTTGAAATAGTTAACGCCGAAAGTGACAAATATTGGTTTTGTTGAAATGAGCATCCAGGTCCTGTGTTTAGCCAAAGACGAATATTGACTCATGGCAGTCCTGGGAAATTCATCTCGTACTCTGAGAAATGAAGACCGTCTCTACCCAAGAGCAGCTAAACCAGGTCCCAGCCTTCAGTTCCTCCTCACCTGGCTTTTCTCACCCCATGGCCTTTGTCAAATCCAGTTGAGATCCCAACTCTGCCTCTTAATAAAAAACTCCTTGCCGTCAAGTTGATCCCGACTCACAGCGACCCTACAGGACAGAGTAGAACTGCCCCATAGTGTTTCCAAGGAGCACCTGGTGGATTCAAACTGCTGACCTTTTGGTTGGCAGCCAAGCTCTTAACCACTGAGCCACCAGAGCTCTCTGCCTCTTAACAGTGGGGTGATTTTGGACAAATTGCATAACCCCCCTGAGCCTCAGTTTCCTCACTTGTAAAGTAGGCCCTGCCCTATGGAGCTGTTTTTGAAAGTCAGGCAGGTGCTTGGCACAGTGCCTGGCACGCAGCGGGTGCCTAAAAATCAGTAGCTGTTACTTGTGGGTCATTTATTTTCAGGAAGGAGAGAAGACGGTGCTGTAAGGCCATAGGCTGCATCATGCCTGTCCTACTACCAGCGCCTCTTAACCCAGCGCCTCTTCCCACCCACTCCATTGCCCCGTCCTGCGCGGAAGCTTCCTATCTGCTCTCTGCTACGTACCTGATCAACGCTAGACTCTTCTACTTTATACTCACGGTGCCACACGGTGTGTCTCCCTTTCAGCTCCATCTCCTGCTGCTCAGCTTTGCACACCTGCTTTGACGGACTTGAAGCTCTCACTGTTCCCAGTGCCCGGTTTGTGCCCGCCCCCATGCCCTTTTCCTTCCGCCATACTCCCAAGTCTTTCCCGGTAGAAATCTCACCATCCATGAAGCCTCTTTGATCCCCAGGCTGGATGTGGGCCCTTCTTTCTGGGCTAAGATTCTTGAACACCTTTTTTTTTGCAAGTCACTCATTTGGCAAACGAAGCTGAGCTGCAGACTTTGACCTAGGCCCTGGGAACACAGGTAAAGCGACGGCTCGGGCTCACCATCAAGCGGGAAAGGTAGATAAAGGAAACCATGAGGTTAGGCGCTTGGGACCTTGTCCAGTTTCTCATGGTGTTTCAGACTGTTAGCATCTTGAAGGCAGGATGAGTGCAGTTTCCTCTGGGGCCGCCATTCTGGGCTCACAGGTACCAGCATCGTGTTTGAACCGATTGATCTGAATGGACATGGCAAAACCAAGTAAGCCCACGGTTCTGCCATTGTCCTAGCCAGCAGGAGTGGTGGTGAGGTGGGCAGCCTGGGGACAGTTCTCTGTCTTCTGTAGCCTGCTTTCTTCCCCGTCCGTTCTCCTTAGCCACAGTCTGTGATTGTGTCTGCATTCAGAACTTGGCACTTTCTTTGATGACTTACTGTTGATCCTTTAAAGGAGTCAGCCATGTTGAGTTGTGGGGTAGGAAGCACGCTGACATTAGAGTCAGACATTCCCAAGGAAGTCACGCGACCTCCCCAAACATCAGTTTTCTCATCTGTAAAATGGTTAAAAAAAAAAAAAGCAGACCATTGGCATACTGACATTCATGAGTAATTTCTCTTGAGTTCTTTGAAAACTCTCAAATGTACGTTCTCATCATTGTTTCCATGATCTCATTTATTGTATAGAAGAGCCCTAAGTGAGGTGTTTTTGTTCTTATTTTACAGATGAGGAAACTGTGCAGATGGTACCAGAGCATGTCATTTTCCCCCAGGTATGCAGTCAATTGTAACTGAAAAATTTAAATGATTTCTGTCCCTCATTCGCTCCGTAGATGTGGGATTACTGTTGTCATTAGCTGCCGTTGAGCTGACTCCAACTCATGGCAACGTTACGTAGAACAGAACAAAACGCTGTCTGCCCCTGTGTCATCCTTACAATTGTCAGTGTGTTCGAGTCCTTCATTGTGGCAACTGTGCCAGTTCATCTCACTGACCCATGCCCTTGTTGACCCTCTGCTTCACCAAACATGAAGCCCTACTCTAGCAATCAATCCCTCCGGATGGCGTATCTAAAGCAAGCAAGTCAGACAATGTTCTCTTGTGATCGGTAGGGTTTTCGTTGGTGCTTTCCAGAGGTAGATCTCTAGGCCTTTCTTCCTAGTATGTCTTAGTTTGGAAGCTCTGCTGAAACTTGTCCACCATGGGTTACTAAGTTTATTTGAAATACCAGGGGCATGGCTTCCAGCATCATAGCTACAAGCAAGCCACCACAGTATGACAAACTGTATACCAGGTGGTAGTATAGAGCTATAAACCAAAAACCCCTTGCTGTCAAGTCAATTCTGGCTCATAATGACCCTGTAGGACAGAGTAGAACTGCCCCATAGGGTTTCCAAGGAGCAACTGGTGGATTTGAACTGCCGACCTTTTGGTTAGCAGCCGAGTTCTTAACCCCTATACCACCAGGGCTCCATGGAGCTGTAAGCATTTATAAATCTATTAAAAGAAAAGAGATTGATCATTGAATGTGAAATTCCCTTAACATGGACTAGTAGTTTGATTTCTTTGGGAGCCATAATCGACAAGCAAATAGTAGTTATTTCTATCACTTCCAGATACATGGAGAGCACAGAAGCTCTGTGCTCTGGATCCTGGCTGGGGGTGAGCTCTCTCACATCCTAAGGGACTGCCTCCTGCCAGCTTCCTAGTACACATACTTCGTGGTCACTTCTTAGCAAAATTGAATTGTTTCATATCTAGGACCTTTGGGGTTGTTCTCAAATAGTCAAAATCACAAATATTGACTCTGTAAATGCTAAGGGCCAACTGGCAGGGCTACTGAGAGGCTTAAATGAGATAATACATTGATTTTCCAGCATCCAGGTGTGCTCTGGGCTTGGGACTCAGTACAGCCTGGTTTCTTGATTTGACTGAAGCCTTTGCTTCTCAAGCTAAGGAATGTGTCCCCTGGGGTTAGAGGACTTGGCTGTGGCTGAGAGAGGTGCAGGTCAAAAAAGATGGCAGTTTTAGTACAGGCACAAGAGCACGGTCCTTGGATTCAGACAGTTCTGGGTTCAAGTCTTGGCTCCACCACTTATACCAGAAATCCACTTATGCCAGAATCTGTAGGATTCCGCTTCCTTATGTGTGAAGTGAAAATGATAGCAGCACAGACTTTAGAGGATTAAGGTGAAGAATGAATACACAGGATTTAGCACAGTACACAGCCTGGCACGTAGTAAGTCCTCAGAAAGCAGTCATGATCACTTCCTTCTCCTCCTCTCTCTGCACAGAGTTACACACCCGGTAGGGGTTTTATGTTTGTTGTTAATTATATCCCTTCAAGTCCAAAACCATTTTCTTATTTGCAGATTAGCCACCACCCACCCCGAGCGCGCGCGCGCACACACACACACACACACACACACACACACACACTGCGCAACTCCTAGCAGTGGCACCAATCAGATAGTCTATTTATTGAGCACCGCCTGTTTACCCTGTGCTGTGCCAGTCCTGAAAAGAGAGAGAGCAGGGGGATTGGCATTCTCTACCCTCATAGCGCCTGGTCTCATTGGGAAAACAAGAGTCCCACACACAGCACCTGGAGGAGCACGTGAGAGAGAGTTTGCTCAGGTCAGGCAGGTGAATGCATGGAAGTCCACACAGGTTCCTTAGGGCAGGTAGGGCCGATGCCGCATCTGCCCTTGGATCTCTGAAGTGTAAGGAGGGAGGGAAGAGTGGGAAAGATTTGGGGATGAATTTAACCATTGAGCATTGAGACCTGTAGATCCAACCCCCAAAGAAAAGTGTCCAAACCTCCCATCAGTCAACGTGCTCTATGAAGCACCAAGTAGGTGCAGATGTCAAGTGTTCTTTGTGTGTGTGGTGGGCAGGGAAGTGAATGTGAAGACCCAGCCCCTGCCTTCCAGGAGGCAATAACATGAGCCAAGAGTGGAAAGCGATCCTGAGCCCACCTCTGAGACTGCTTAGAGTGTAGTAGCCCCTTGAGCCCAGGAGACTAAGCTTCAGGCTTGTTGCTGCCTCAGTCACTGGTGACCAAAGATAAGATCTCAGTCTGGGCAGGAGACAGTGATGAAAGGTCTGCCTCCATGCAAGGATTGTTAGCTCTCTCTCTGGTAATACTGACTGTCCCTGGCCCAGTGATCTCTGAAGTGACAAACCTAAATTATTCAAAGGAAGGAGTCCCCTTTGGGCTGGAGACCCAAAAGTTGATGTCAGTTTAACCTGGAATTCCTGGAGAGCTGGATTGAAGCTGTAGCCCTGCTACTTCTTCAGTAACTCTGGGCCATTATCGGGCAGTGAAATCCCTAGGTTGTGGAGGAGCCCGTGGTAAATAGGGACTTAACAATCTTGAGCCCACACTCAAGCATCAACCATGCCTACCCCAGGCTGGACTGCCACGGCTCCTTCTCTCCCAGGAAATGCCTGGCTTCCTGCCCATTCTACCTAAGCCCATCCTCTTGTGAACTTACACATTCTTCAAGGCCTTATTGATGTTTATTCGTCCAGATCAATTAAAGCAGAATCTACTGAAGAGAATATTGGGTCGTTATGAGTCAGAATCGACTGGACAGCATTGGGTTTGGTTTTTTTGTTTTTATATATTTCAAGGGAGACCTTGGGTGGCGCAAATGGTTAATGCACTCAGCTGCTAACCAAAAAGTTGGAGGTTCAAGACCCAGAGGTGTCTTGGAAGAAAGGCCTGGCAATCTACTTCTGAAAAATCAGCCATTGAAAACCCTATGAACACAGTTCTATTTTGATACGCATGGGGTAGCCATGAGTTGGAGTCAATTCAATGGCAGTTGGTTAGCTGGTTATTTATTTAAATACTTCCCAGGTGATTTTAATGCTCAGGCAAGGTAGAGATGCATTGTCGTTTCATCCGCACTGACCTTTTGGCCATGGGACTAAGGTTGGGAGAGCAGGAGAGCTACACACAGTACTTTGTGCCCCTGATGATAGATATGAACAAACTCTTTCTCTTCTGCATTGTCTTTGCCTTTCTCTTTGGTTGCCCATTTGACCTTGGGCTGGTCCTAAGAAAGGATCAGGTCACTAAGAAGAGAGAGGTAAGCGCTTGTCTGTCATAAATAAAAAGAAAAAAAAAAAAAACATTGCCATCGAGTCGATTCCAATTCATAGCAACCCTATAGGACAGAGTAGAACTGCCCCATAGGGCTTCTAACGAGAAGCTGGTGGATTCAAACTGCTGACCTCTTGGTTAGCAGACGTAGCTCTTAACCACTGGGCCAACATTAGCAGACATCCTTGTTCTCACTGAAGACGTAAATTTGTGGCAGGAAGAGAGATACTGGTCATCAGATCCTTGCTATTGGGATTTAAGAAAATTCTTCATCTTCTTTGGTCTTCTGGCAGAAATCTTTCCCTTCTGTTTTGTTGCCATTTGTTCCTTTCCTTTGCTCTTCAGCACACGAGAATTCTGGGCAGCCTAATGACCCTGCCCAGCTATTACAGATCTGCTGTTCTGTCCCCCGGGGAAGCATCTTTCTGACGCAATTGCTGCTCTGCACTCAGCTGCTGAGGGCTGAGATGGGGAGGGAGGCTTGGATCCGTTTGGACAGTCAGTAAAATTCTGGTTTTACATTACCGGTCTCCTGATTTTTAAGTGCTTGCAAGCCAGATTCTTCAGGATAGACTTAGAATGCCTTAATTCTGCTGCTTGGGAGCAGTTGGGGGCAGTTTCTAAGCAAACGCTGGTATCTAGCCAACCAGTAGAACATGTTTTTAGGAGACATGTTGGGCAAGAATTGTGCTGATGGCTGAGATCAGAACATTTTGATTGCATTGGGGTAAAGTTCAGGTTATACAAACCAGAATACCCACCAGATACTTTAAATATTTCAAGAAGTCAGATGGGAGAAGCATATTTACCACAACCAACTGCACATGCCAAAGAAATAATCCAGTTTCTGTACCTGATGCTCAACTTTTGTGAGCTGGTGGTGGTTAGCAATGACAATCTAACGCTGGTCCGAAGCTCTTCCTGACCCCAAGATCTTCATCCGTCAGATCATGCAAATTCTTCTTTTTTTTAAATTTATTTTTTTGTTTTTTATTATTATTTTTTATTGCTGTAGTCTCAATGAAGTTTACATTTCAAGTTAGTCTCCCATATAAAATTTTATACATACATTGTTATGTGACCCTAATTGCTCACCCCATTCTGTGACAGCACACTCCTCCCTTCCACCCCTGATTCCCCATGTCCAATCAACCAACTCCTACCCCTCTCTGCCTTCTCATCTCACCTCTGGACAGAAGCTGCCCCTTTGGTCTCTTGTATCGACTTGAGCTAAGAGGCACACTCCTCACGAGTATCACTTTATGTCCCACAGTCCAGTCCAATCCCAATCTGAAGAGTTGGCCTCGGAAATGGTTTTAGTTCCGGGCTGATAGAAAATCCAGGGCCCTTGCTTTCCAGGGTACCTCCAGTCTCAGTCAGACCATTAAGTCTGTTCTTCTTACTAGAATTTGAGTTCTGCACCCCATCTTTCTGCTGCTTAATCTGGGGCTCTCTGTTGTGTTCCCTGTCAGGTCGGTCGTTGGTGGTAGCTGGGCACCGTCTAGTTCTTCTGGTGTCAGGCTGATGAAGTCTCTGGTTTATGTGGCCCTTTCTCTCTCTTGGGCTAATACTTTCCTTGTGTCTTTGGTGTTCTTCATTCTCCTTTACTCCAGGTGGTTGGGACAAATTGATGCAGCTTAGATGGCCGCTTGCAAGCTTTTAAGACCCCAGATGCCACTCAGCAAAGTAGGATGCAGAACATTTCCTTAATAAGCTTTGTTATGCCAATTGATCTAGATGTCCCCTGAAAGCATGATCCCCAGACCCCTACCCCTGCTACTGTGTCTCTCAAAGTATTTGATTGTATTCAGGAAACTCCTTAGCTTTCGTTTAGTCCAGTTGTGCTGACATTTCCTGTAGTGTGGGCTGTCCATCCCTTTGCCTAAGATGACTCTTATCTACTATCTAGTTAGTAAATAGCCGTCACCCTCCTTCCCCACCCTCGTAACCATCAAAGAATGCTTTCTTCTGTGTTTAAACCTTTTCTTGTGTTCCTATAATAGTGGTCTTATACAGTATTTGTCCTTCTGTGACTGACTAAATTCATTCAGCATAATAAGTTCCAGCTTCCTCCATGTTATATGACGTGATAACTCAAATTCTTAATTAAACTTGGCTGACAAAATCTTTCAAAACCTGGGCATCGTTGCAGGGGAAAATAAATAATACTTGATGATGTACGGAGAATTTAGGAACTGTTGGCTTTGGTTAAATTACAGGAAGCTTCAGTTATTTCACTGTGCTATTGAAATGCTTTAGTGAGGAGAGAGCTCATATGTGGAAGATAAAAATTTAGAGCTGAGAATTCTGATGATTTTTTTTTTTTTTTTTAGACCAGTAGAAATAAATGTTCAGGAAGTCTCTGAGTTAGCTGTATTAGCTAGGGTAATGCTAGCTGCTATAACAAAGAAACTCACTTCTTAACCACATTTGCCCAGAAATGACACACATTATTCCTACTTACATTTCACTGCTATTAACTAGTCAAATGGTCCCACCTAGATGCAGGTTGTGTGTGTGTGTGTGTGTGTGTGTGTGTGTGTGTAGTTGCTGGAAAATGTCCCTGGCTTGGCAACCATTCTATATGGCAAAAGGAGCAAATTTTTGATGGGGCAGCTGGCCTGCTCTGACATGAGAAAACGGGAAGAAGAGTCATCTGCAGATTACGTGGCAGCTCAGATGGCACAAATTAAGAGTTTAGGAGTTTACAGAAAGAAGAGCCCACCATGGCCAGGGGTTTTTGGAGGCCAAGACGTATGGACTACTTCTTGGAGGCATTATGGTTAGCTGAGGTACCTTTGGGGTGGGGGAGCACCGGGTGTCAAGCTCTCTAGTCTAAGGATGGAGAGTCTGAGCCCTAAGGTCCAGATGGGGATGAAGTTGTGCCAACAGAGCTTAGGGAGACTGGAATCAGGGCAGAGTAAAGAGGTGTCATCAGAAGGTCCAAGATGGTGACCAGCAACTATAGTTGACCTGGTAAAGCAGAGAGGCTCTCAGAATCCCTCTGAAGGGTCCTGAGTGGGGAGGCAAATGTTGGATCATGACCAGCTTGGGAGTTAGCATAACCTGGTTCAAACCCCAGCATGACCATTTACAGTGGCACCTTGAGCAAATGACTTAAACTCTTTGAGCCTCAATTTCCTTGTTTATAAAAAAGGATTGTTAATACCCCACCCCACAAGGTGGTGATAAGGATTGAATTAGGTAAAATATATAAAATACTGTGGCCCTGGTGGCACAGTGGTTAAGCGTTTGGCTGCTTATAGTATTTTATATTTAGCATTTTATATAAAACCAAAAATCAAACTCATTGCCATCGAGTCGATTCCGACTCATAGCCACCCTATAGGACAGAGTAGAACTGCTCCATAGGGTTTCCAAGGAGCGGCTGGTGGATTCCAACTGCCGATCTTTTGGTTAGCTGCCAAACACTTAACCACAGCGCCACCAGGGCTCCCTGTAAATGCTCCCTGGACCATGGCAATAGCCTCTGAACAGGTCTTCCTTTTTACTCTTCGGAACCCACCACCACCCACCACAGTTGATTCTCAGTGTAGCAGTCAGAATGATTCCTTTCAGGCATAAGCTAGCCAAGTCTTATTCAGAGCAAAAGCCAAAATTCTTACAAGTCTTAAGGCGCTACTTGATCAGGCTCCTCACGCCTCTCAACCTCATCTCACCCTAGGCTGCTCTTCGTGTACACTGCTCCACAGCCCCCTTCCTGTTCGTTCAGCATGTCAGTCATGCCCCTGCTGAGGGCTTTTGTGTCTGCTGTTCCCTCCACTGGGAACTCTTCCCTCAGAAATCTGCGTGACTTGCTCACCTCCCTCAGATCTTTGCTTTAATGTCATTTTCTCAGGCTTCCTCTGACCATCCAGTTTAGAATCTACCCTCCCCACCTTCCCCCTCCCCATACACACATCCCAGGAGGCTCTATCCTTCTTCTTAACAGTTACCACTGTCCTAAAGCATCACACACATATTTATTTTGTTTTACTCTGTACTTACCCCTTCACTAGAGTACAAGTTCTCAGGGGTTAGGGGTTCGCAGTTGCTTTGGGCACTGCAGCATCTCCAGTCTGGCCACAGTTCGAAACCAAAAACCAAACCCGCTGCCCTCGAGTCGATTCTGACTCATAGCATCCCTGCAGGACACAGTAAAACTGCCTCATAGGGTTTCCAAGGAGTGGCTGGTGGATTTGAACTGCCGACCTTTTGGTTAGCCACCAAACGCTTAACCGCTGCACCACCAGGGCTCCGCAGTAGCCACAGCAGACACTCAATAAGCATCTGTGGAGTGAATGAGTATACCAGGTGGTGTGTGTTACTCTCACAGGCTCCGGGACAGCTGCGTGGTAGAGGAGATCAGGCCTCCGTGTTTATCCTCCCACTGCCAACTCCCTCAGAGAATCAGGACTTAGAAATAAAGATCCTCTTACATATTTAAAAAAAAAAAAAATCAGAAGAACCACTGAACCTGAAACCGCTAAATCTCTACAAGCTCTTGAGATCCATCTCTCAGACTACAGGTAACACTGGGCAAAGAGGAGCATGTTAAACAGCACCATGAGGAAGCTGTCAGCCGGATTCAGAACACGAGACATTCCATGGGTTGAGGAATTTAGTTTCTTTGACAGATATGTGCCATGAAAAAGAAAAAAAACATATCACCCAAATGAGATGTGTGGATCCTGTTTGGATCCTCATTCAAGCAAATTAGTGTCACTGACATTTTTGAGAGAATTGGCAAGAATTTGAAAATGCATTGGGTATTAGTTGATAATACCTAACAAGAGCCCTGGTGGCATAGTTGTTAAGAAAGAGTTCAGCTGCTAACTGAAAGGTTGGCAGTTGGACTCCACCAGCCGCTCCTTTGGAAACCCTATGGGACGGTTCTACTCTGTCCTATAGGATCGCTATGAGTCGGAGTTGACTCGATGGCGATGGTTTTGGTTTTTTGGTTTCTCAGGTGATAAGGACATTGTGGTTATGTTTAAAAAAGTCCTTATCTGAGATTTATGCATCTATATATCTGCATGGTTGTCTTTCTGTCTATCGTCTACATCCGGAAGAACCTGGAATATATATACATAACATTCTACAGAAGTAAACCTTACAGTAAACAATTTGAGGCACTATTTTCTCAGTTCTCCTATGGAAGACATATAGCTAATACCGTTCTAGATGCTGCAAGGGAGGTAAGTTAATTTGTTATATACAGTGAATGCCTCAGGACATTAGGTCTTAATTTTTTTCTGGAACCCAGTTGAGAAGAGTTGGTAGGGAAGAAATGATATGAAGTCTAGCATTTGCTTTAAATTACTCCAGAAAAAAAGTGGTAGGGGTAGATAAAAAATGATTGGCAAAATGTCGATAATCTTTGTAGCTGCGTGAGGAAAACATGGGGTTCAATGTGTTGTTCCCTGTACTTTTTTCTATGTGTAAAAATGTCCATAATACTAACTTAATTTGTTTAAGATTAGGAGGTGAAACCATTTCTCTTCCTGAGAAGAAGGCCTATTTCCTTTTTCTCTTTCTCTGCTGGCTGATGTGGGTTGAATATGAGGGAAAAAACGGTGAGCCTCTTGCTTGGGAGGGGTGTAGTGTTCATTCAACCCTTTTTATAAGCCTTTTTTGCTTCTTCCTCCTTGCCTCACCCCTGACTTTAGTGTGGTAAGACTGCGGGGGGCGAGGGGGGGAGGGGGGATGCCTGCTGGGGCTTCTGCTGCTTATACAGGGGAGCCAACGTTCTCCCTCCGGAAGGGGAGTTAATGGGGCGTGAAGAGCCTATTTGTGCCAGGCATCTGTCAAATAGGAAGGCAAGTATTTCTACAAATACGAGTCTGTAGGCAGCAAGGTTGAAGAGAGCACTAGCAAATGGCTTGGGATTTCCTTTTGCAGTGGCTGCATTAATCCTGAGTTCAGAGTGGCCGACTCTTATCAGGGACTGTGGAGAACTAGCCGTGATGGAGACCCAGTGCCCCCCCAAAGAGGTTCTGCGCTCCTGGCTCTTAGAAAACTCAAGACAGTTCTGAGGACTTCACAAGTCTTTTCCATCAGTGCCTGCCTAGCTGGGAAAAGATTTAATCTCAGGTAAGAGATCATTTTTACAGCCTGGGTCTGGAACAGTTTGGTCAGGGGGAATGAAAGCCCCCTTTATCTTCAGGGCTTTGATTTGGGTGGATCTTCCCCTCCCCATCATTAGCCCTGCAGTTGGGCTTGTCATCAGGCAAACTCACCTTCTCATTTTGTAAATCTTGCCTGGCTTCCTTTTACTCTCTGCTCAGATTGACCTAAACCCATTGCCATCTAGTTGATTCTGACTCATAGAGAATTTAGAGGACAGGGTAGAACTGCCCCATAGAGTTTCCAAGGCTGTAAATCTTTACAGGAGCAGACTGCCAGATCTTTCTCCTGCGGAGCAGTTGGTGGGCTCGAACCGCTGACCTTTCAGTTAGCAGCTGAGTGCTTAACCACTGCGTCACCAGGGCTCCTCTTTCTCAGATTAACCAGCTATAAACCTGTTTCCTGTTGCTTACCACCTTCCTTATTTTTGCTGCTCTTTTTAGCAAACTAGTGGCTTATCAGAAATATTTTGACATAACAGTTAATGTTTCGACCCATCCTGGATCCCCTTCTGTGTCAGCATAGCTCAGTGGCTAGGAGCTGGGACTTTGGAGTTAGACAGTCTCGACCACCTACACAGGCAGGCTCCTCTTGCCCGTCTGTGAAATGGGATGAAAACAGTATTGTCCTCAGTACTGCCCAGGTACTTCACACATGGTACAAACTGAATAGTTTTTAGCCAGAACAAAGTGATAAAATCTATCATTAAATTGTCATCCAACTTTTAAAAGGCCAAATTTTGTTTTTTTTTTTTTTTTAATGCAAGGCAAACTTTTTAGTATTACTATTCATACTTTACAGATGGAGACACAGGGCTCCCGGAAGTTGACTAGCTGGCCTAAGTCATGTAACCAACGGGTAGTGCAGCCAGGATTTGAACCTGGGTTTTTGAGATGATAGAGGCTAAGCTCAAAGGGTCCTTCAGTGCGTAGAGGTGGGAGAGATGAGGAGGGATCAGCGAAGGAGACTACTGACAAGGAGTGACTCAGTAAGGTAGGAGAAAAACTGAGAGAGGATATGGTTTGGGAAGCCAGGTGAAGAATACCTATCCAGGAGGAGCCAAGTAGCCAGCTGTGTAAAATGCTGCAGATAGTCTGAATAAGATGAAGACTGAGCAGTGACCATTTGCTTAGCAACACAGAGGCCTTGGAGGTCTTTGGTGACCTTGACAAGACCAGTTTCATGAAGATAGAGGGCCTGGTCCGAGTGGGTGCAAGTGGGAATGGAAAGAGGGGAATTGGAAACCACAGCTATAGAGAATTCTTTCAAGGAGTTTTTATTGTCAAGGAAAGAAAAACAGGGCAGTCGTTGGAAGGTGAAATGAGGTCAAGAGGTTTTGGGGGAGGGGGCAGAGAAATGAAGTTTATTTAGAACTCATCCAATGGTTTAAGAGATGACGCTTGTAAAAGTCATGTATCTTTTTCAGTTGATTCCTTCACTAAAACAGCAACAATGGTCTACCATAACCCTTTTTCATCAAGCTCTTTCAAACATTCCCTTACTTTCATTGTTCAGGAAGCAATAAGCCTGCAAATTACTCTATGTTCCTTACATACTTTAATTTGAATACATCTGAAAAATGTATTCATTGAGGGATGACAACCAACCAGCATTCAAGCTTGAGGGGGTATCCAAGGGCCAGGTGATCGCCCACAGCATTCACTGCGAAGGTGCCAAGAAAGAGCCTCTTCCATCAACTGTCTTCCCCAATGATACTCAAAGTGTAGACCTCTTAAGAGCTGACAGCCTTACCGCTATTCATTCTTCAGCAAACATAGAGTGTCTACTGTGTACCAGACATCCACCCAGACACTGGAGGGAATAGCGAACAAGGCTGACAAGATTCTTACCTTTTTAGGGGAAGGAGGCGCACGTTAATCAAATAATAATATGAATGCATGCATAATTATATGACATGAAAAGAGGGACAGCTGTCAGCGACATTCTCTAACTCTACCAGTAGACTGCCTAGGAGCCAGCTCTTCTCTGAACTGATACGGAGAGCCTCCAATTTTTTGACAACGATACCTCTCACTTTTGCTCTGTCAGTCATGCCCAGGGCCTTCCTAGCCGCCTGCCTCCCTGGTCCTGAGAAGCTGAGGTTCTCCGAACCTGAACCCCAGGTCTCCTATGGAGGACTTTCTCTTGGTTTATGGGGCACAGCCAACTTATGGCCACTACGGCTTCCTCTTAGTTCTGTAAATACTAGATCTCCTAGGACAGGTGTCAAGGTGAGCCTAATATTGTGTATCAAATTGATATCCAAGACTGAAGTGTATTTTCAGTATTGTCCCCAACAGTTTTGCCTTATTCACTCAACTAACATAATGAGACTAATAAAGGAAGGGAAGCTGAAAGGTAAGAATTCACTGGTCATGTTTCTAGTTTTCTCATCAATCTTTCCAGATTTTAACCATATATATATACATATATTTTAGGTACTTGGACATGCATAACTTTTAGTCGCAATAAAGTATGCATAGATAATATTTTTTATTGTAATATTATAAGCATTTTTCTTCTTATTGCCATATAAATCCACACACAATTATATATATCAAGTGGATGTACTAAAGTGTAACTATTTCCGTATTGCTGGAAGCTTAGTTGTTAACAGATTTCTTTTTTTTTAGCTGAATTTTTATTGTACTTCGGGTGAAGGTTTACAGAACAAATAGTTTCTCATTGAACAGTCGGTACACATATTGTTTTATGACATTCGTTAACAACCCTACAACATGTCAACCCTCTCCCTTCTCGATCTTTTTTTTTTTTTTT